TCGGCGTAAACTCAACATAAACGTGCTCTTTCACTTTTTCTACGTTGCTGGCCTATCAATTTTGGAATAGTAAAAACGCACGCGTGCTGACTATTTTATCATTAAAAAATTAACAAGTTGGAATTTCAAGATGAAAATGTTCGCATATAGACTAGACGCCATGAGTAACAATATGATGAAAACCACAGCCTTCTAGCTTATTTAGTTTCGTAGTTATACCAGAAACAAAAAACTTTGGTTTTCTGGTCTATCAACTTTGGTATACACTGCATAACTGATCTGTAAGGGTTGTTGAAAAAAATCACTATAGCAGAAAACCGATCATATAGTTTGAAATGGATCTTCATCAGGTTTCGACGAGCACACTCTTAGCTACAAAATGAGACATCTCTCAACTTTCCACGTTCTCTCATTCAAACATCATAAGATCAACAAAAAGAGCAAAAAGTAACGCACAGACACGTTACGCGTAACGTCTATGAAGTAATAAGATTTTTTTCCTATAAAACCAGTGTTATCACACTTTAGTTAAACATAGTTTGTTTCATTAGGTAAAACTCATCGAATTAATACAAAATATAAAAATGATGATACTAGATGTTTTAGTATTAATGATAAATTAAATATATCAACATTGACAAGTTCATTTTTATCATTTGATATGCTTATGTCAAATAATCCTAGTCCATCTATATATTTAAATATATCAATTCATGCACCATTTGAAGATTTAAATCGTACACTATTTTTATTATTTATATGTGGTGTTTTTATTGATTATAATAGTGGTCTAATATATTCATTATCAAAAATAAAATCATGGAAATTTATTATTGAAATACCATATTCTGATAAATTTAAAATAAGTGTAAAAGAAAATTTTGAACAAATATTACCTATACTATCTATTATTAATCCATTTAGTTTAGAAGAAGTAACATCAGATAATTATCCATTATTTATTGGTGAACAAGAAGAATTAGTTGCAAGATTTTTAAAAGCATTTGAAAATCATAAAATAGATAATATGATGAAAAATGAAAAACCAATTAGTTTTGAACCAATAACAAATAGTGATGAAGCAAGACAATATATATATAATTGTATTAATAAAAATGCATTCGAATTACCTCAAAATAAATTATATGAATTATCTTTTACAAAATTTTTATATCGTCGTATAAGATTTTTTACTGGTCATTTTTATTGTTTAAATGAAACAATAAAAAATTTAGGTTCAACTGTAATGAAACAAATTATGTTTAACTAAAGTGTGATAACACTGGTTTTATAGGAAAAAAATCTTATTACTTCATAGACGTTACGCGTAACGTGTCTGTGC